AAAAAAAAGGAGACATATGTAATACTCTTTGTAATACTTTAAGCAATAAAACAAAAATTTTTTTTTTAAAAAAAAGAAAAGCCAAAGATATTTTAAACTGTGTGACTTTATTAGAAAAAGTCTCAACTTTGCAAAGATGAAAATGGAAATTCTGGAAGTTAATGAAAATAAAGAGCTATCTCCAAGTAGAACGTCTTGAATATGAATTTTCCATCTTATATTTCTCTTTCTACTCTTTTATTTGGAAAGATTGATGTGTTTCTGTGTGTGTAGCATGTTAGAGAGGGAATGTGAGAAAAGAGTAATTCCCAGTGGGACTACTCATTTAGATTTGCCTCCAACTGCATGTGAGCAGAATTTGAGAAGGTGAAAGCTTGTATATCCCTTGATGGTGGCAAAAGAACTCTTGATTCCAGACAGATAGAGCGACACAGGTTGCCTGTAGCAGAGGCACTTCTCTGGGGTGGGGTATCTGCTAATAGGAGGCTTCTTTTAGAGAGTTGTTCTCGGCCCTGGTGGGGCACTGCCAGATACTAAAATGAAGACGGTGAGGGGTTTGAGGTCAGAGAGGCCTGTGCTCCTAATCCTCTCTACTTGGCTGTATGACCTTGGAAATACCACAGCCTCTTTGAGTTTTCAGTCACTTCACTAAAATGGAGATGTTACTATTTGCCTCATTAAAAAATAAATAAGGGGCCAGAATTATCTGACAAATAATGGCTGCTCAATAAGTGTTCCTTCTTCCTGTAATTGTATGTTGGGAATATTTTATTTCATTAACAAAATCTTCTTAATCTTAACTAGTGTAAGCAATGATAAACTTTATTTTAGCTTTCATGAAGCAGGACCTCACTTAATCTAGCTTCTTCATTTAAATGGATGTTGTTCAATTCCAGTGGAAGGGAGGTGTCAGAATTGCAGATTTTCTTCCAAATTACCCTAGTGTACTTGGTGCCCAGTCTTACGTATTTACCCACAAAAGATTGTGTCTATCTAACAAATGTCCTAAATGATTTTTCCCCACCCCTAAATGATTCTTAACAAGTTGGGTAAGGTTAAAAAACACCAAATCTTTAGAGCCTCTTAGCTTTCCTTGTTGAGTATTTACAATCTTTACCATCAGCAAGTTCTTGCTTATTCCTCTCCATTCTCTCTTTCTGTGGTTTTTACCCAATTATTCAGTGTATCCTCAAGATTGTAGAATTGCACAATTATACTCTATAAGTCCCTTTTTCAGGTTTAGGATTCTTCTGTTCTGCATTTTCAGGATGTCTCCCGTGCTAAGCTAGCAGCTATAATTCCAGACCCAGTTGTAGCTCCTTCTATAGTGCCTGTTCTGAAAGATGAAGTGGATAGAAAACCAGAATACCCTAAACCAGATACTCAGCAGATGATTCCATTTCAGCCACGACATTTAGCACCTCCAGGTTTACACCCTGTACCCGGTGGAGTATTCCCAGTACCACCTGCAGCTGTTGTTTTAAAGAAACTTCTCCCTCCTCCGATCTGTTTCCAGGGTCCTTTTGTACAAGTGGATGAACTGATGGAAATTTTCCAAAGATGCAAGATACCCAATACTGTTGAGGAAGCTGTGAGGCTCATTACTGGCAGAGCCCCAGAGCTCGCTGTGGAAGGCAATGGCCCGGTGGAAAGTAATGCAGTACTCATCAAGGCCGTCAAAAGGCCCCACGAGGATTCAGATGACGACGAGGAAAAGGGAGCTGTCATCCCTCCTGTTCATGACATTTATAGAGCACGGCAGCAGAAGCGAATTCGGTGAAACGGGCTCAAAACCTGCCTCTAAAAGAAAACTTTTATCCAGGATTCCCATTTTGCCTCCTATGTCATATGTTTAAGAGACAATGCTTTGTTACAAGGTTCTTGGAAACAAAGTTGTATTGTCATTGGTGCCTCTATCATATGGTTCTTGAGAAAGAAAACCAACCAACCTGTGTGAATTTTACAATATGGAACTGAGAACAGTGCAAAATGGCAGAACCACATTTTGTTCCCTCTTCAAGGGTGTCTGGTATGTGCCACTTGAAGATTTTGTGAATTTTCAATAGTTTTATTTTAAAACTGGATGGCTTATGATTGTAAAGCTTTTATCACATTTTTCTGAAAACAGTTGTTCTCAGTTTGCTTATGTAGAGTCCTGCCTTATTGTTTGTTTTATTTATGGCAGAATGTATGGAATCTGTTTTGTAGTTTAAAATTTTAAAACAATCCTTTAAAAAATAAAAGGATATAAAAAAAAAAGAAAAGAAATGAATGTAGCCCTGACCTGTTTGGCTCAGTGGATAGAGCGTTGGCCTGTGGACTGAAGGGTCCCAGGTTCGATTCCGGTCAAGGGCATGTACCTTGGTTGCAAGCACATCCCCAGTAGGAGGTGTGCAGGAGGCAGCTGATCGATGTTTCTAACTCTCTATCCTTCTCCCTTCCTCTCTGTAAAATATCAATAAAATGCATTTTTAAAAAAAGACTGCTATTTCCTTGTTTATTAAAAAAAAAAGAAATGAGTGTATAGGATTTGACCCTGTTTACCTGATTTGGTCCAGCTAGTATGAAATGGAGTTGGACAATCATCTCCCTTGATCTGATTTTTATTCTCTGCTAATGATATCTGAAGAAGCAGGGAGAGAGGGAAGGTTAGGGGAGCAGGCACTTAACATTTGAACGCCATCTAAGTAAAAGTGCTTTATGTATGTAATTGCACTCAATCCTCACAATGACTTAGAAAACTTACAGGGCTCTCACTTCTCTTATAGGAAAATGGGGACAATACCTCTTGACGCTGTAATCACCTGACCAGTAGGTGTAGAACTGGAATTCTTTTCTGTGCCTATTGTT